TATATATATAGAGTGAGCAGAAGAGATTAGTGTGTTAAATTTATATTGCACTGAAATCAAACATCTTTTGAGACTTCATATTGAGAGAAACACGTGCATACCCGGCGATACCCGGTCCACTGGAGGCATTTCTGATGCATCGGAACAACTCTAATCCCGTCCACATCATGAAGGTTTTCTGAGCCGAGTGTGTCTGTTACCTGGAAGTCGTTCATCAGGCCGTACTGACAGCCTCCCTCCTTGCAGATGGAGAAGTCGTAGCCTAGCGTGCAGGCGGCGTCGGTGCAGTTCACCGTGTCGCTCACCGTGTCGTTGTGGTCTCCGGTGGCGTCCCGGACGATGCAGGAGCCTGCAGGAGGAGAGAACCAACGCACAACAGAGCATCGGTTTGTGGTTTGTTGGGTTCGATTTGGTTGCTGCACCATTCATCATCCCACAGAACATTACCGCTCATTGATGGATCACACACTACTGATTTAGCTCTTTTGACATTTTTCTTTTCTTTTCTTTCATCAGTTTCATCAAAATTAACCTTCAACGTTACAACATTTGTGATCTCTGTCCTGAAGCCAGTTGAGCACAATTTCAAAGTGAAACTGTAACTCAGATATGTACAAACTCTTTAACTGTATCCATTTTTATAATGGTAATCATTTTTCTTTCATGTTTTTTCTTTTAATAGGATGCAAATTCAAAAGAGCTACTCCAGGAATGCGCGACTGTTTTTGTTTTGTTTCATCACGTTTTCTTGTGGAGCATCAATGGACACAACTGCATGTCATTGTCTAACCCCGTGTTACACAATGACATCAAATTATTCTTGTATCCTTGAAAAAGCTGCAAAAATGTAACGGTATACATCTCGATATGTTTAGCAGACATTTTACACCTCGAACTGTCGTCAACGTGTCTGTAATTTTCATAAGACGAGCTACAAATAACTACAAATCCAGGAAAACTCAACAAGATTGAATGTCAAATAAGCTACTTCGGTTGCTTACTTGATGAACTGAAGTCTATAAGTGTACCTGCAGAGATGGTGATAGCCACGTAGGTGATTCCTGTGATGACGATGGCCAGCAGGGTACCTTTAGGGATCGCTGACTGAGGATCCTAAAGAAGGAGATGAGATTCAAGTTTATTGTGTCAAGCAGCGTCAAGACTTGATACCAAGCTGGAAGCACTCTGTGTTCCTCAAAGTCAGGCTGAATTTAAAGGAAGCTACGCTGTTGAATCCCACTGAAAGGCTGTTCAGAGGATTTTCAAGGCTAGATGAAATGTGCACAATGCGCTTCCTGTCCGACAAAATCTATTTCTGAATTGCCGATCGAGTTGCTGAATCTTCCCTCATATTAGATCTAGAAGGCCTTGTTTGTATCAGGTTGTTCCGACTTTCGTCAGTGAAATCAGAATAAGTGTACTGACCTGTGACTACATCAAGGTGAGCGCTACGACCAACGCATTACAGCAACAAGATGTTCAGCATGATTCTCATTTCAAGTTTCTCTTCTTCATAACTACTACTACTTGTTTTCTCAACCATCAATCCTCCATGATTATTACAATAAACTCCATGAAATGCAAAATGTGAAGCTCACCGTGAGGTCTCCAGAGATGTTGGCTCCGGCGAGGATCCCGGTGGCCGCAGGAAAGAAAATGGCAAACATCGAGAAGAACGTCTCCTCCTCTCTGAAGGCTGGACCCAGGTTCTCTAAGAAGATGGCGGCTGGAGGAGGAAAGAGCCAAAAACAGAGAAATACATGGGTTAGACTTCAGGTGTAAAGTCAAAGCCAAATTTTTGGATAAAAGAAAGAGAGTGCAGACTGACAGTGGTAGCCGAAGAATCCTTTGGGCTCTTTGCTCTCTATGGAAATGAAGCTTCCTATGAAGTAGTTAGCGATGGCTGCCAACAGGATCACCAGCAGGACAATCTGAGCCTGATGGACAGAGAGACGCAGAGAAAGGAAGACATGTGGAAGGAGGTGTTCGTCAGGAACACTGTGGTAACTGTCCCATTACTAGCAAGAACATTTGCTGATGTGTTTGTTCTACTTTAGAATTGCTGATTATGGTCCTGAATGTAACTCTCATAGATGGATTGTGCAAATAATTTTCACATTTCTGCAACGACAGGTGCCTTGAAGTTAAATTGCACGTAACATGCTCATACTTACCACTTGGCTAATCGGTTGGCTTATAGCAGGACATTTAGATGAGACAAGACAACGAGTTGACAGCCACACTTAGTCACAGTGGTGCTTTGAGCTAAATGCTAACGCCAGCATGCTAACATGCTCACAATGACACTGCTAACATGTGAATGTTTGGCAGGTATCATGTTCCCCATGTTAGTTTAGCTTGTTAGCATGCTAACATTTACAAATTAGCACTAAACACAAGTACAGCTGGGGCTGAGAGGAAATGTAATTCTCTCTGCAGGTATTTGGTTATAAACTAAAATATGAGAATATTTTATATTTGGACCTAATGATGGAGCAAGATGAGAAGTCAGAAGATCACCAACATTTATACAATGCATCCTGAGGGGACCATGAATGTCTGAGCCAAGTTTCATGACACTCAACGAACACTTAAATCTACTAATGTGAACATCGTGGTTTCGCTGGACAAACAGGGAATCAACAAAGTCAGTAGGATTCATCCTCTGGGGACCATGAATGTTCGTACAAAATTGAATCTTAATCCATCCAAAATATGTAGAGATGTTTCAGTCTGGACCAAAAGCAGCTGCAGGGCCTCAATAGTGTAATATGAGCATCGTGTGTCCGTCTTTGAGACAGCAGCAGAGGATTCTGGGTGTTCACAGTTGTGGATTCACGGTCCTACCTTGGCTTCCCACTCCATCCCAGCTACAGAGATTCCCAGCAGCAGGATGACGGTCAGAGTCCCGACGATGCGAATGTCGTTGAGCTCATCGGTCATCAGAGCGTCAACATCCTGCAACCAACAACCAAAGAACCGAACACAAGATCAGCGTCGGAATCGTTGCTCAACAGACAAGACGGATGAACGGTTGAGTGTTTCCACCAAAGTCTTCCTCACATTGAGCATCTCAACGACTGTCTCTGCGAAGCCCACCACGTACATGGCCACGGCCACGGCGTTGGCGAAGGCAAAGATGAGGCCGATGGAGCCTCCGAACTCCGGCCCCAGGCTCCTGGAGATCAGGTAGTACGCTCCTCCTGCACAGCAGTGGTATTGATCATTGGTTCATCACGTGGTGCTGGTTAACTTTAGGGATTACGTGTCTTTAAACCCGGGATGGTTGTTGTGAACACAGAGGGCTTGAATTTGAAGTATGCTGGTAAAGTAACTACTTTCAAAGGACTCATTTAAAACTTTGGAACAAGTTTCCTTTAGACGTCCTGACTGAGCCTGTGAGCAGCCTGTGAGCAGCCTGTGAGCAGCATTTTGTTTTGTTTTGTTTAAATTTACAACGTAAACCACTGCTACTGTAATCCCTCTAAACGTAATTGAGGACGCATTCTAGTTATATCGGAACGTTATTTTGCAGGAGACAAGGTTTTCTTTATTTCAGGGCAGCAGGTTGATAATCTAACAAAATCTCCCCACTCATCAGATAACGCTTTCAAAATAAAATCCTGTGTACGGTTGCAGTCTCACCTCCTCGTACGAAGCCGTTGGTCGCTATGGCAGAAGTAGACAGACCAGTGATGGTGGTGACCACAGTGGCCATCAGAATGATCGCAATGGTCAGTCCTGTTGCACACCAACGAACAAACGGAAAACAAACGACGACAAACCACAAAGATTTCATTCGTTGTTAATGCAGCTCTACGGGACAAAGGAAGGAGATATATTAGATGAGAAGATATTTATACTTGTTAGTACTTTCCTTGTTGGTTTTGGTCTCTTCACGGGATTCAAACAAATATATAGAGAGCTTTATCCTTTAAGGACTGTAGGTAGCAAATACAACATCTATTTAGAAAAGCTGTATTCTCATTGGTTGGTCTGCAGGAAGAAAACCCCCTGAAGGACATTCCTAAAGACAAAGTTAAACTTTGTCTTATTTGTGCGTACCGATTCCAGCCTGTCCAACGATCCAGGACATTCTGATGAAGAGCATCACACCCCAGATATTCAGCATGCAGCGGATCTGCAACACACACACAGTTAACAACGTGATTAATAACACTGCAGTGGATGAAACATTTATTTGATCAGATCACATTGAACAGAACACTCACCAAGACTCCCTTGACCCAACCGAACTTGACGGTTCCTCCTTTCGCCTCCTTTGCCGCCATCTTTGCCGCCGCCTCCTCAGCCGCCGATGGCTCCTCTCCATTGGCCAGACCGTCCTCAAACGGATCCTGACAACCAATCACAGCCAAGAGTGATAAAGAGGGAAAGACAAACACACAGACGGGTGAGCAGCAGAGAAAAGCTGAAACAATTTAATTTTCTCTACAGAAGATGAATTTACTGTATCACATATTTGAGTGGCAGTTGTGTTAACGTGGTTGATTTTGTTATTTATATTTTGTTATTATTTTATACTTTTTGTCTTTGTCAAGGATATATTTGTTTATGCCGGGACATTCCAAGAACATCTTTGTTGTTTAATTGAACATGTGTGTCTGTTGATTTCCTGATTTGTTCTGTTTTGTTGTTTAAAGTGTTTGATTTTATGTGATTCATTAAATGACATTTTTTCATCATAAAGAGTCACAGAGTGGGTTTTTAGCTGCTGAATTATAAATATAAAAATATACATTTCAAATCAAAAACTCAAATAAATGTTTAAAATCTTTGCTCTGCTAACTTGAAAAGAGCAATTTACATTTTTTCGACCCTGTGCCGATTATTCATGAATTCATTTTAGGTGAATATTCGGGTGTTTTCGGCTGTTAATTGCTGTAATGAGCTCATTGTTCTCAAATAAAAAATCGAATTCAGCTCTTTAATGTCACCTCAGATCCACAAGTGTGCTGGAGTACAGATGCTCCATCACTGGGCTACTTCTTAACTGCATTTCATAAGTAAACCAGTAGTGTTGGTTGACTCTTACTAAGTGAAACAGAAACAGGAAATATAGTTAAATTCAAAGACTAAAACTTTACTTCCTCAGAGCTGATTGAAGTGAGTAGAAATACTGCTGCATGTCTGAAATGTTTAAGTAGAGCACGATATAGATATAATAAATGTATAAGAACACATTCATGCCAACCACACACTCATGTTTAATGTATACTATGCTGAGTCTGCACTTTGTGTTACTTGGAATAATTGCTCACATGAGTTGAAACAATACTTTAACTGCTGCGTGATCAATGTACAATGTGCGTCTGTGTTACGGCTACCTAGCTGTATCTGAGGAGCGGGAGCGTGGTGAGGGTCATGAGAGGCAGCATTGTGTGTGTGTGTGTGTGTGTGTGTGTGTGCGTGTGTGTGTGTTGGGGCCATGCCTCCAGTGATGTCACTGAGCCCACTCAGAGGATGGAAGTGAAGGGAATGTTTTCTGTTTCAGTCTTTAAATCAATGAAATCAAATTAAGAATTTTACAACGTGCAGAACACTACATCCATATCTTTATGATCTGTCTGCAGGTGTTTGAGCTATTTAGAGACTTTTATCACCCACATTATTAATTATAGGAATTGATCTTACTATGAAGATCAAGAGGGTACATACCCTTACACATAAAGCTAACTACTACTTATACAACTTTAGCAAACATGTTGAATGCAGAACTTTTACTTGCAATGATGTGTTTTAAAATGTGCTGTTGCTTCTTTGAGGGTTTAGACACTTCAGGTGAAGACATAATGAACTAACATCATGAAACTTCTCCAGTTCATTACTGACATTAAGACGATTACTCTTTGTATTAGAAGTGTTCTGAAATGTTGTTTAAATATGCAAATGAGGTATTATCTCATCAAATGTTCATACATTTCCAGAACACAAATGTGAACTTTGGATGAAGTCATGTTCACAATTCTTGTTTCATGTTGTTGACATATTAGAGTCAAAGGTGTTTATGGAGATAATTATAGATTATCTGTTTGTTTCACTTTATAAATCAGAAAATACTGTCAACAGCCTTAAAAAAAAAATCTATTTTCTCCTTGTTTTTGGTAATAACGTGTATAAATGAGGTTATGAATGCTGTGTGAACAAACCCCTCTGTGTGCTGAAGAATGAAAGAGTAAAGTTTGGTGAATGTAAGAGCTGCTGAAGTGGAGATTTATGGATCAGAGTCTGAGAACAAACTCATATTGGAACATGTGGATTTTGCCATGAAAGTTATTTTTAGTGATGAAAACTGTTTTTTTTTTTATTATTTACTTTATCGAGTTCATCGTGCAGCTCCGACAGCGACGGTCTGATCAGCTTCTCCCCGAGAGTGGCAGCGGTGTGGCGGTAGAAGTCGATGTTGGGCACCGCGTCGATGGTGTTGTGACCGAAGGTCCTCATGTAGTAGGTGTTGGAGTGGCTGTCGGAGATGTGCGTGTGTCCCGTGCCCGTTGAATGGAGGCTGACCGAGTCGCTCCTCGCCTGGTCCGGATCGTGGGAGACATCCGGCGGGAGACCGATGTCCATCGCGCTGCCCAGCGCGCCAGAATCCAGGAACCCCACCACCCTGAACCGGCCTTTGGACTCCTCGGGCGGCTTGGATCCATCGGCGGAGGCCGCAGCCGCGGAGGACGCTTCCGTCACCGCGTCCACCTGGAAGCGGCTCTCGCCGCTCTTTAGGGCCGGTTTCTGTCCCGACATGTTCGCCTACGGGTAAGAGTCACTGATGCACCGAGAAACTAACGGTTACCATGAAATAAACCCCTGCTCCTTAAACATTTAGTACCAAGCAGTCAGAGCAGACGCACAGAGGAAGAAGTCACCAAACTGGAGTCCAAGTGAAACATTTAGAAACAAAAAGTTACACACAAACAGTCATTTAGTCCTCTGCACGCTCCAGGACGCACGGGAAACCATCTGCGTAATGTGCGTTAAGGACACCAAGTCTCTCCCTCTCTTTCACTGTGTCCCCCCCTCTCTCTATGTGTCCATCTGTCCATCCATCCACGAGTTGGCGAGCGGGTCGTCCCCTCAGATGGTGACTCAAACGGTTTATTGTCATCTCTCCTCTCTCTCTCTCTCTCTCTCTCTCTCTCTCTCTCTCTCTCTCTCTCACTCACTATCTCGCTGTCTCTCCTCCTTCCTCTGGACTCTCGAGACATCCCAGCATGTCGGGAACACGGTGGGAGAGGAGGAGGAGGAGGAGGAGGAGGAGGAGAAGGAAGGATGGACCGGTGTCCATTACGCACCAAACTTTGGCACACGTCCTTGCGCATCGAGAGAAAAAGAGAGGAAGAGACAGAGAGGACACTCGTAAAGATGAGAGTGACAGATAATTTACCTGGTAAAGTTTAGATAACATGAACGTGGGTCTGTTTATACCGTGAACCTACTGCGCATGCTCTAACTGACAATAAAAAACGACAAAAAATATTTTTCCAAAAGCTGCAGAAATCTCAACAAAGAGAAAAACCATCAGCAATATACACATTAAACTACCTACTGTGTGTGTGTGTGTGTGAGTGTGTGTGTGTGTGTGTGTGTGTGTGTGTGTGTGTGTGGTTGCATCATAAAACAAAGAGATTTGTCATCACTGCTGGTGACACACTGAGACATTCACACAGAGGCTCGAGACGCACGCAGAGAGGCGAAGTGTGTGCGTGTGTGTATTATTGCGTGTGTGTGCGTGTGTGTGTGTGCAGCATCGTTTGCATAGGAAACAACAGCTGCTTTCTCTGACAAAGTGCTTGATGCTGAAGCCAAACATTGAACAATAAATAGAAGCAAAGAACGACATGAACCAGTTTAACTATTTAACTTTCATTCAGCTTCAAAACAAAACTTTCATTTTGTGAGTTGGAAGCAACATGACATCATCACGATGTCACCTGTTTACAATGATTTTACTCTGACAGGCCACGATGTTACAGCGAAGTTTAGTACGGAGTCGCGAGTGTGACACTTTTTCACTGTTTTCATTTACAAACGATCATTTAAAAAACCCAATTATGAATCGATTCATTGAAATCAGTATTAAGATGATTCATTTAAACAAGACATAAAAAACAATAAAAGTTCATTCATTAATTTTGGTCGATTGCATTTTGAAATGAATGAATGAAATAAATAAATAAAATGCTTTTTATACGTATGGAACACAAAATAAATGTAGTGGACCCCCGAAGAGGTCTCCCCCACATCTGCTGCAACTAACGATTATTATTCATTCATAAGTTATATCTTCTCTGTGTTTAGGTTTCTCCGTTCTTCTGTCAATATTGTGTGTCGGATCCTCCTTCATACATCAAATGGAACTAATGAATCTACTGTGAACTGAACTAAAGGAGAGTTTACTATCGCTGTATATCAGCTGTGATGAAACCCTCAGGCAGACGGCTTTATTAGTATTCGTGTGATCAGTCTTCAGGTCTGGTAGAGACGCCTGGTCATCACCACGGAGCTGTTGTATCTGGAGACAGAAAATCATCAAAAATGTTCAATGGAAGCAACAAAACTTTCTTTCCTGAAGCGACCATGTACGCAGCTTCAGTGTCTGAGGTGTTTTACCTGGAGAAGTGTGAGGAGTGATGAGCTGTCAGTCCTGTCTGGCTGAGAGGAGCAGAGGAGGAGGAGGAGGAGGAGGAGAGGTGGGTGGAGTCCTGACTGTGGCAGAGACGCTCCCGACCACAAAACCACAAAGACTCCTCAAGAGAAACCACGGGGATCTCTGCCAGAGCTGCGTTCTGTTACACACACACACACACACACACACACACACACACACACAGTGAATCTGACTGCACAGTGTAACATGAGGTGCGTTTGTTTTCCTCTCCGGTGTCTACCTTCATCAGGAGCCTCTGGTTCTTCATGTCCTGTTTCCACGGCATCACGTACAGTCTGGGGATCATGGGGTGTCGGGCTGAGAACGTCGGGATGTGGGAGCAGGATCTCCTCCGAGTGAACACGAGAACATAGTTAGTTCACGTTTCAGGCGTCAACAAAAATGCACCAAATCTTTGTGACACCATGTCTTAGAAACTGGTCTCCTGGTTGCAAACCCTATGTTTGCTCTGCCTCATGCGGACGGTGTTCTGTGAGGGACATCTTCAAATTGAGCTGATTGGTTGAAACACCGTCCACCGTTCAGTGTTTGCCAGAGGCGTCTCTCACCTTGAACCTCAAAATGTGAGTTTTGCTAAGACTACTGTCAAGTATTTAGGCAAGCAGGCCGGTCAGAACCAAGTGCGTTCAGTGGATGTTAAGATGGCCGCCATCACTGAGTTCCCTCTTGCGACTACTGAACAGAATCTGGGCCGTTTTCTGGGTTCAGCTGGTTGCTACCGAGGGTTGTGCTGTAACTTTGCCTCCATTGTGTTCACATCATGATGCTCAGACACAGTCACAGTTGACAATGTTTTCCTCTTGTAGAGTTTTTAATGTAAAGATTATCAGACCAGAGAATTGTTTCTGTTGCTGCTGTTTACATTCCTGATGATGCACATTTAAAAAATGCACTCCAGGTGTTTGTTGTGTTTCAAATGGGACAAGACTGAAATTCATTGTGCTACTACTACTACTACTACTACTACTACTACTACTACTACTATATTGTTTCTGTCCCTATTCAATGAACCATAAATAAACCAATTATGGCCCAAAACGTAACAACATAGACATCTATGAAGAATCCATCTGCTGCTTGTGATCCTTTCAAATTTTGGTTTGAATATTCAAACCTGGACATAAAACAGGAAACGCATCACTTCCTGTGGTAAAGTACTCACACAGAAAGCACAAGAGCACAAAAACCATCTCCATGTTTAAGAGAATGAGATGAAATTGTTCCTGATGCGTTTTTAACTGTTCAGGATTTAGAAAACAGAAACATCACTCACTGGTGTTGCTGGGAGTTTTTTGCAGCCATGTCTGTTGACTGTCAGTGTCGCCGTAGTAACCTCCCAGTGCATGGTGGGTAGAGGGCAGGATTACAGTCACTGTACTGTAATCTACAGCAGACTGACTCACTGGGGTCTAACATCTACAGCACGTTGAGGTTTCAATGTTTGCTGATGATGCAACAAACAAATCAAAGAGTTTCTGGGAGTGTGATTTTATTTGTTTTGTATTTTTAGTCATTTATAGAGAACTTATATTTGAATGTGATGTGAGGGTTGAGATGAAGGATGGAGGTGTTCCTCAACAAAGGGGAACGTCTGCAGCTCTCGTGGCAGAGTTTTGATGACGTCGTCACATCTGGACATTTGTGATCGGAGTTCAGCAGCTTTGAGAACATGCAAAGTTCAGCTAAACTTCAGTTTTCACATGTTTACAATATTCTCACAAATGGTTCTCACAAATTCAATACAAGAAAAATAGAACTTTATTCCCAGACAGAGGAAAATACAATCACATCATTAAGTATTTGATGTTGATTCATTTGCAATTTACTGTAGTGGGACTGCTGCCATCTGGTGGTGGGACAGAGGTATGGATGCTGGACTCAATAAGTCCACCAGGGACAGAGACCAGGGACAGAGGACCAGAGACAGAGACCAGGCACAGAGGACCAGGCACAGAGACCAGGGACAGAGGATCAGGGACAGAGACCAGGCACAGAGGACCAGGCACAGAGACCAGAGACAGAGACCAGGGACAGGCACAGAGACCAGGGACAGAGGATCAGGGACAGAGGATCAGGGACAGAGACCAGGCACAGAGGACCAGGCACAGAGACCAGAGACCGGTTCTCTCGTTTTGTCGTTTTTGGTTTAAAACGGAAAACTGAATTTCCGTTTAAAATGATAAAAGAAAGTATCAAAACAATGATTATAATCTCTCCTTTGTTTGCTTCATAAAACATTTATAATAATAAAATGTTATAGATTTTATTTCTATATTTCTACACATCATTTCATATTCCCCCCAACGATTGACAAGGTTTGATATGAACTTCAACACAAAGCAACATGAGGAACTGGTTCCGGTGTCCTCGTGACGGCCCTCCCTTCCTGCTCCTCTTTACTTTCACGTCTGGAGCTCGTGATGTCGCAGCTTCTTCTTCTCTGCTTCTAAAGGTTAGTGAGCGACTCTGATTATTTGAAAAGGTGAATTCAGTTTGATTTCACTGTTTTAAAATAATTAGTGACGATCTGGAGGAAGCAGCTTCCTCTTTAACTTCATGTTGAAGCACAAACGTGATGATCCTCAAATAAATCACGCTTTTACTGCTCAGTGACGTTTAGACAGAAACTCATTTTATGTGTGTAAGCGTCTGTCTGCACAAAGAAGCTGTTCAGCTGATATTAAACCGTTTTATAAGAACATCAACCCAACAAATAATGATGGTGTTTTATTGTGAAAAGCTGTAAACGGTGAAATGAGTCAGTTGAAGGTGCAGGTTTCCCTTTGAGCCACCAGAGGGCGACAGCTCCACTAACAGCCTCATTGAGAGGAGACATCAGTGTGACTCCATCACAGAGAATCAGGACGTTGGTGTGAAGGAGGAATGAGTGCTGATGTGCTGATCAATGATTGGACGGATGCTTTCAGCTCTGCTCTCACTGGTTCCTCTACACATGAAGGTACAAAGTGATATGAATTCAGCAGCAGCTAACAAGGTCACATGACTGATTTTGGATTATTGGACGAGCTGCTTCCTGCTCTGACTGGATGTAGTAGACGTGGAAACAGAGGA